TGAAGTGCTATGTTCAGTGCTATGCCGACGGTGCACATGTTGCCCTTCCAGACTAATATTTTTACGCGGTCTTCTTTTTTTTCAGTTGGATGGATAATCTCTTTCCTTCTCTCTCTCTCTCTCTCTCTCACTCTCACTGAATGCTGGCTCACTCTTCTGTTCTCCTGTACCATCCATGTCACTCAAGAGCAGTCCTTTTATCCTCTTCCTACTCTTCCAGGGGCCACTGGAGCAGCAGGCTCCCTCCCCTCTTCTCTGTCCTTCTGCTTCCTTCCCTAGCTTGGCCAGAGCTGGGGCCGAGCTCACATTATGTCTTTGCTTCTCTCTAGGGCAATGACATCATTGCAGCAGCCAAGCGCATGGCCCTGCTGATGGCTGAGATGTCTCGGCTGGTAAGAGGGGGCAGTGGTACCAAGCGGGCACTGATTCAGTGTGCCAAGGACATTGCCAAGGCCTCAGATGAGGTGACGCGGTTGGCCAAGGAGGTTGCCAAGCAGTGCACAGATAAGCGGATCAGGACCAACCTCTTACAGGTATTAAGAAAAGTGTGCATATGTGTCAGCGTTGGGGGCATGGGAGGGAGAAAGCGGGAGAGAGAAAACTGGATGGGCAAGGAGGAGGGAGAGCTTCAGAGTGGAAGGAAGTGGAAGAAAGGGAAATACATATATATATGGGCAGAGTCAGGAAAATTTATTCCCTAATTAAATAAAAAAATGTTAATGCTTCCCCGAACAAAGGGACGATACTGGTCCTAGGGAGGAAGTGAGTGGACTCCTGCTGCCAATTTATTGAATGCCGTCTGCATGCCAGCCCCTAGGAATACAGAGGTGGACAAGTCTTACCCTCAAGAGCTCGTGGGCAAGAAAAACATCAGAAACATACTCAATTTTCTTCATAGGTGTGTGAGCGAATCCCAACCATAAGCACCCAGCTCAAGATCCTGTCCACGGTGAAGGCCACCATGCTGGGTCGGACCAACATCAGTGATGAAGAATCTGAGCAGGTATGTGTCTGCTGCTTCTGGTGTCGTGCCAGCGGCTGCTGTGCCAATTCTAGCAATTTAATTCAGCTTTGGGAAAATTTTACCCATGATTTGAATATTCGCTATTTGGAATGGAGTCTCTCCGAAAGGCATCTGGGTTGGAGAGAGGCTTCAGAAACTTAGAAGGGGAAGTAAAGTCTTGTGCAACTTTGGTCACTTTACAGGTGGGAAATTGAGGCCTAGGGTTAAGTGTTGGTGGCAGGTGGACCTCTGCTCAGTTCTGTTCCTCTGTGGAGTAAGTTTGGCTCTCCTGAGGCTTCTAGTCTGTTTACTCCTGCCCACTGTGATCTTTGGCTAGAGAGAATTTCTGCTTCCTAGTTCACGGGGTGATAAGTACCCCGGGGAGGATGAATAATGTAGGCTTTTCAGGGGCATGAGATAATTAGGCGTGTGCTGAGGCTGAAATGACAGCTCAAAGGAGGTGCTTCTCTGTTTCTTTGACAGCAGTTGAAATAAGGGTGGTGGGAGGGTTCTCTTCAGCGATGGCAACCACTTTATGGAGTTTGTCCTCTTTCACTGCCTCATGGAAATGTGGCCCAGGACTAATCTCAGAAAGTCCTCATCTGAGCACCTCTTCCTCTCCTTACCTCCTCTCTAGTAGGCCCTGCTTAAGCCAGACTTCCAGTGTCTTCTTGTAGTAGGTAGCACAGCTTTTGTTGAACTGCTCAGACAGGCTCCTCATACAAGGGCATGTATGTGGCACTCACTGTATTAGGTACTATGAAGGGGGTTGAAAAAGCCAGACAGTCCCTTTCCTCGGGAAATTCCTTCTTCGATCCCTGGGCCTGGAGACAGAGAGCCTACTTCGCTCGTGCCAGTGGTGCTTTCCCTACCATGTTTTAGTCCCAACAGCTCTCACCTGACCCTCCTTGTGCACCAGAGGAGTTGGATCTTCTCCCCTAACTTCCATGTATTCTAGGCAGGGTTTGCGCACTGGGCTGTTTCCTGTCATGTGATCTCCTCTGCCCCCAAGAAAAGGAAGTAGAAAAAACAGGGAGGGAAGAGTAGGACTCATAATTTCAGACCGTGTCATTTAACCAACAAAAATGTATTCTGGGAATATCTACTATGTTCTACCCAATATCCTAATTTAAAAGGGTAGAAAGTGACAGTGTGGTAGAAGGGAAAAAACACAGGGCTGCCAGGTCAGAAGTTCTGAGTCCTCATCCTGATTATTGTGTGAGTTTGGTTGGCAAATCTCTGAACCTCTCTGGGCCTCGGCCTCTTTGTTGACTGGCATGAAAAGATCAGCTGACCAGGAATTTAAGCCCAGAGCTATGCCTCTCAGAGCCAATGAACCCTCAGAAATTGCATGCACAAATTTTATACACGTGAGCATTATTCTGGGAAGAATCAGTAGACTTCATGAAATCCTCAGTCTGTGGCTCAAAAATAGTTTCGTGGTTGTTTGTGTGTGTGTGTCTCTCAAATAATAATTAAGAAATAAAAAAATTACTGAGCTAATGGATTGTAAGTTCTCTGAGTTTCTATGGTGGAGTACTATTGTTATCTCAGTGCTGTAAGTTCGTGTGTTTAGATTTACTTATTTAGATTTTCGTGGATTTATAAGATTGGTTTGTTCATTTGGTTATTTTTTTCACTCATTATTAAAATTAAAGATTTATGAATCAAGTATTTATGAAATACTTCTTTTGCCAGACACTGTCCTAACATGGGACATAGTAGTGAACAAAACTGACAAAAATCACTGCCCTCATGGAACTTTAATTTTAAATCGGGTAAAATGTCAGATCAAACAAACAGCTTGGGCAAAACATACAGTATATCAGTTAGTAATGATGGGTTCTATGGAGAGAAATGAAGAATTGGAGGATGAGGAATGCTGTCAGTGGGAAGGTGTTTATGATTTAAAGTGAGCAGGGAATGCCTCAATCAAAGATCTGAGCAAAGATCTAAAGGAGGTGAGGGGCGAGCCATGAGGGAAAAATATTCCAGGTAGAGGGAACAGCAGGGGTGTGAGGCAGGAGCTTGTTTGAAGACCAGGAAAGAGTTGTTCTAGAAGCCATCTGCGGGTATAGTACACAATCAGTGATGGCCTTTTTTGGGTTGTTTTTGGTGATCCCCCTACACAACCAGTGATATGACAAGTGGGGGGATGCCAGCTGCAGGTGGGGTAAACTGCAGTCCACCCCTAGCTTAAGCCAGTTTTGGAGGTAGGACTGCATCAGGGACTGTGAGTAATGGAGAGTTCTTGCTTTCCTTGCAGGCCACAGAAATGCTGGTTCACAATGCCCAGAACCTCATGCAGTCTGTGAAGGAGACTGTTCGAGAAGCTGAGGCTGCTTCAATCAAAATTCGAACAGATGCTGGATTCACACTGCGCTGGGTTAGAAAGACTCCCTGGTACCAGTAGGCACCTGGTCAAACTTGGCTAGCACAGAAACCCCTACTAAATAGAATGAAATGATTGTGGAGTCCCAGAAGATGATGAAAATTGCTTAGGGGGTTAAAAGCCACATCCTGGCCTGACCTAACATAAAGGAATGGGGCCTCTTCACTTTAGAAACCATTTATACTCTTGTCATGGACACTTTGAAATGTGTCTCCGTATAAAGCCTGTATTCTCAAACACAGTTGATACTTGTGCACACTCTATCCCAATAGGAAGACTGGGTTTCGAGCCCATGGACTTCACATAAGCTCAGAATCCAAGACTGAACACTAGCCAGACACCCTGCTCTGCCCTTATTCCCTAGGGGACAGTTCTTCTCTGCTTCATTCTCCCTGCAACCCCACCCCATTCTACCCACCAGGCTCCCAAGACCCAGAGCCCAGACAACTTAGTTAAGAAGGAAATCACTGTGCCTCCAAAATTTGTTTTGGGCTTTCCATATTACATTGCTCCTGACCCTGGCTGTGTGCTATCTGGGTCCTTTTCAGAAGTGAGCTTCGCTGCTACAAGGGAAGATGGCCTCTGGGGAGCCCCAGTAGGCGGGGCCTGGATTTACTTCCTGCCTTTCCCCAGTTTAATCCTTCTAATTTCCCACAGTACAAAACCAAATTTCACTCTCTCAGGAGGAAACCACAGAATCCCATGATTCTGTCTTTACCTTGTTCCCCCCCGCCCCCCCCCCCCAGCAGTGTCTGTGCAAGGGAAAGTTCCAGCCCTATATCCCGCCTCAGCCTGTCAAGGTAGCCACCCCACAAACACACTGTGTGTCCTGGTGCTTTCTGCCATTGGAGGGGCAGAGTAGCCTGGGGGTGGCCCTGCCCATCTTCCCAGCAGGGCCACTCCCAGGAGCTTCATGCTTTGTCACTGCCTGCAGAGGTCTGTGCTGAGGCCTTATCATTCATTCGTAGTTCTTCTTGTTCTGAGCTGAAATGCTGCATTTAATTTTTAACCAAATCATGTCTCCTGTCCTGGCTTTTGTATTCTTCCCTCACCCTCTTCCTAAATAAGATTTTAAAGATATGTGTTTGTTCATTGTAATTTTGAAAGATCCTTTTTATCCTTTGGAAATTTAGTCCTAAGAATTGGTGCTTACCTCCCAGGAATGTTTAATAGAAAGGAGTCCTGTCTGAAGGGCACTTCCTACCTAAGGGAAATTGTTACTTGCAGACTGGAATTCTGTCACTGTTGGGAATGAGTTAATGGGAAATAGTGCTCAGTATATTCCTACCTTCCTTAACCAAGACCCTGTACCCTCTACTCCCTCCCAAGTATGAATGTCCAAGAGAGTAATGGGTATAATATTTAATTATCACCACAAGTTTCCTATTAGCAAAGTGAGAGAGAAGACCTTTTCCTTTTTTGCACTTACCACTGCTGTCTAAGCATTGCCCAGCGCATGAAATCTTCTTTCTTCCCAAAGCCAGAACTGGATGAGTAAAGGAGTAAGAACCCTTGCCTGAATGTCTTTTCTTGTCACCTCCAATGTATGTTAAATCTCAACATCGAATGTGTATAACTTGTCTTAAGTTGGTACTGTACACTCAGGCTTCCTCTGTTTTCTTTTAACTGATGAATATTATTTTCAAGGCCCTCAGCATATTTGTAGTTGCTTACATGATATAAATGCAATATTAATGCCTTTAAAGTATGAATCTATGCCAAAGATCAGCTTTTGTTTTATGAAAGATTACTTAGAGGAAATAAGAAAAATCGTTTGCTCTCCAAGTTCTTCCAGTGTTTTGAGACACTGGTTTACACTTTATGCTGATGTGCTTTTCTCTAATATCAGTGCTCAAGACACAGTGAAGCAAATTAAAAAAAAAAAAAAAAAATCCCTGAAGACTGATTAGAGACATCACCACTTAAAAACTACATTTATAAGCTAGGATTTGTTATACGCAAATATTTTCTGCCTTTTCTTTTCTGTTTCAAACAATAAAGTGCATTTGTATAAATGATTTAAATGATGGATATATTATTTTAGCAAAATTGTTTTGAAAAATAGCCAAGGAAACTAATCTTTAGGATCTGGCAACTGAAGACTTTTATTTAATTCAAATGTACTGGATGAACAACATACTACTTCTGTATAGCAGTAGTATATTTACTTAACAAGGATCTCCATAATAAAGGACAGGTTTGGGATTATATACTAGAAGAAGGTGATAAAGGTGAACGATGGGAGGAAAGCAGCCAGTTGATGTGGATCATCCAGTATTCTGTCTTCACCTAGCTAGCTGTGGAGACCATCGCCTTTAAGAAGCTGAAGTGGTTGGTTACATGTGCAGGAATATCACATACCCATTTTTCATACTTCAAAGCCCAATACAGAATAACAGGGCTGTCAGGGATCTGCCAGGGCTAGAAGGCAGAGAGCTAGCTTTTGGAGACATAACTCCTTTTGCTTGAGGAAGCACCGACTAAAAGTAGGAACAGGTACTTGGAAGTAGAGTGGGGACATCACTGTTGTGCCTGGTTTTCTATATCTGAAAGGGGATTGTTAAAGGGGGATAGTGCTGCAGACTACACTTCCGATTTAGAAGCGTTGCTGACTAGGGAGGCGAATACCAGACTCCTGGAGTTGAAGAGAAATATCCAAGGCTACAGGATTAGCTCAGCAGTATCTGAAAACAGTATTCATGGTCTCATTTTTGTTCCTCACCATATGTTCACTGGTGTTGCCTTCCTGCTGGATCACATCTTAGCTGTTTTCTCAAATCAGAGGACTAAGGACAGTAAGACCAGCATCTTCCGAGGGTTGTTCTGTAGCACCACTTTAGGAATGAACCCATCACGTGAATACTCTTTGAATATTTTTTTTCCATATTTTTCATTAAAAAAATAGTAAGGAAATAGGAATTCTAGAAGAAAGAAAGCTCAGTGACAGAGTTAGGTCTCTATAAATGGGTTTTTTTTTTTTACTCTTTGAATATTTGATAGTAACTTCCTTATACAGAAAATGAGCATCGACTTCATTTGTTCTTAGGATGTCTCCTTTAAGAATTTATAAAATGGGGCAGTTCTGGGATTAGCTGGAATTCTGTGTTTGAGAAATATTCTACTAAGTATTCGTGGATCTTTTGTTACTTATTAGTAGGTGGCGCTGGTGGTAGGGAGAAGTAGGGAGAGTAGCTTTGATCACTTACTGCTCAGTCTCTGACCAGAGGGTGATGCTTAGAGAAAGTATACATGGCTGTTAACATACTGAGGTTAAGAGACGAGCACCTGGGAGTGCTTTGCGGCAACCCTTACACCTTATGTGATGATACAGAACAAAATCTGGTCATGTTTAGCTTGCTCTGATATGGAGGCATGCCCATCTGAGAATGCTCAACCAACAGTCAAGCTAAAAAAAAAATCAACTTGTTGCTTCATTTTTTTTTTTTATTGACAGTAAAGCCAGGTTAGATAAAGGATTTACTGGATTCAAAGTAATAAATACAATAATTTAATTATAAAAGGAAACAGTCTACTTGGAAGTTTTAGCAGAAATTGCTAAAGACAAGGGACTCTTGGCATATAATCTGTTTATATGTAAGAGAAGATAGCACAGAAAGAAAATTGGGACAGTCCTGATACAGATGGTTAAGATTAGGAATTCTGTAGAAAGAAATGTACTGACTGTTCTTTTAAGACAGGACATTAGAAGACATTAAAAATGAAAAGCAACTGAGCTGGGTAATTAACCTCAGGCAAAGGGAATAAATATTTGGCAACACCCTGATTTTAGCTGCCAAGCTGATATTGGTTACCCAAGAAATTCCAAATTTGCAAAAAGTGCCATTTCCTATTAGATGAAAGGCAGGTTGGGTACCCTAGGCAGGCAAAGGTAAGAATGCTGCTGTATGATGGGCTGTGTACCAGCATCAACCACTAGCCCTTGATAGCACAATGGGATAAATTTAAGGGCCATTCTTAGCATGATATGGAAAAGGGAGTTGTAAGCTGAGACGAATGAAAAGAATGGAGTCATGAGGAGAAGAAAACTAATAGCATAAGAACATGTGGGAACTATGAAGAACAAGCACTTCTATTGGGAACTATGAAGAACAAGCACTTCTATCTTTCAGGCTTTCTCCATTCTTTATGTTTCATGAGGCAAAACAACTGGGCAAGGACTCCAAAGCCAATGAAGTTGAGTGAAGCGATACAATTACTGACTGACTTGCCAATCATGCGGATCAATATGGTTTCATCAATGTTACTGAAGGTTTTGTTTCTGCCTCAATATCATGTACATTCAAGTATTCTGTCAGTATAGGAGAGACATCCAAGTAATAACTACGACAAGAGCTTCGGGAAGGAATCTACTAACTACTGTAGCCTTGGGAAGCACACAATAGGAAAAGCAGGTTCCCCCTGAAGACAAGGGATGCAGGTAAATTTAAGACCTTAAGAACAACAACAAAAAAGACAAAAGGTTTAAAAGACTCATGATAGTGAAGCAGGCACATTTTCTTCCTTTTGCTGAACTAGGGCTTGAGGCCTTTAGGCTAACTGCGGTTTAAGTGGTGTTGACAAACTTTATAGAACATGAAGGTGGCAAAGGTTCACTGAAGTATCTTACTGCTTAAATTTGCTTCAAATCTCAAATGCTTGTGCTTGCAATAACTTCCTAAAAGCAGAAGTAGTGTTCCCTTTTATGACCTTAAAGTATTTGCGCCTTTGATACAAATACTTTTTACTATGCTATCTAAACGGCTGAACTAGTGGCACAAAACTGAGATGGTACTTACTGCAGCAAGGTCCCTGAAAATCAAAATCCGAGCTTTACATAAAAATCTTATTTATAAAAAATACAATACCAAGTACAGTGAGAATGAAGCATGGAGCAGTAGTGCCCCCTGCCAGGGCCATGTGGAAGTGGCTTCTGCTACAGTGCTTGCTTAATGGCACAAGTGAAAAGCTGAGTAAGGCAAACACTTGAAGAGGCAGTTTTCTGTAAACTTTTTGGGGGTGGGGGGACTTCCTCTGTTGGGGCAGTTGCTGATTTGGGATGGCTAAAATCAGGTATGCAGACATTTGGCTGCACTTGATGCATCACATTACAGATTAAGACAGCTCCTGCTGGCTAAGACCAGTTCACTTGTTTTAGGGGACAGGTGATCACTGTAGACTTTTGCCTTTACTGGTACAATGTGCAGCCTTCAGCTGATGTCCCCCACAAAGGAAATCACCTCCCAAATCTTCCTAACTGAAACAATACAAAATAAGCTAAGTAATTCAAAGTTTCCTTAGCTTAAAGCTCCTTAAGAACCTTACACTGATTACTAAGCAATTTCGGTAGCGGTGTGTAGCTCAACAGGGATGCTTTAACTAGAATATGTATTCCCACCCACTTGGTACCTAACAGTAATTAACTATAATGACACTAGGAAAACAAACAGATCTTGAGGAATTTTGGCCTCTTCTCATGTCCTCACTTGGAACTTTCCAGCTTTCGTGACATATTTGACTCCTTTAAAAGGCTTGTATTTCTCGCCATACATGTCCAAGCGGTTTACTTTTAAGCCTGTATCACAAAGAGTAGGTAAGGAAAGGAACAAATTATTATCCTGGTCACACCAACCAACAATATTTGTTTAGCAATGAATACTACACAGTAAATCTGACATTAACCAAGTGTCCCTTTTATCATTCGGAAGCAATCTCCTTTCTACTAATCATAAATTATAGCACTGTTGGGTGATGGTTTTAGTTTAGATTCCCACGTGGGCAAGGAATGCCTTTTCAAGGTAATTCTTTCTGTGAGTATGAATGACTCCTTCTTTTGTGCTTAGATGGATGGAGGGGAGATCTGGTGGAAGAAAGCTATGTGAAGTTGAGGTGCTCCCCAAAATCATTGTACCCGAGAGGGGGCCCCATAGCACACTGTGAAAGTCAGGCTGGAGTTAGTTCTTTCTAGAGAGGGAATGTTAGTATAGTACCCTTCTAAGCAAAACTCAATTAACCTGTAAACACAAGTTAAAACTTATCCTTACCAGAAATAGCAAGCTGCTGGATCTTAAATTGTATGTTGAGACTTGGATTCTCTTCTGGCTTGGGTGCTCCAGACTGTAAATTTACCAGTCCTTTAAGACTTGGGAGCTTTTGTGGAGTAATTTTTCCTACATCCCATGTTAGTACCTTAAAAAGACATAACAACCAAATACAACCTGAACAATTTACTAAAGACAAATGTTCAGAGACAAGGTTCAAAGACACTAAAAACTTCTGTACAGAATGGAGCACAGTGTCTTGGAAGCAAGAGACCTGGAATCTTCTGTGACTCTGAACGGTGAGGGCAGAAAACCAACATTTGTAGAGCATCTACTTTTGGATACAGTATTGTGCTTAGCACTAGTCATACATTATCCCAAAGAAGCACAGTGGCGCTTGGGTGCAGGTGGTTAAGTATCCAACTTTGGCTCAGGTCATGATTTCACGGTTTGTGGGTTAAGGCCCTGCGTTAGGCTCTGTGCTGACAGCTCAGAGCCTGAAGCCTGCTTCAGATTGTCTCCCCCTCTCTCCTCCTCCCCCACTCGCTCTCTGTCTCTCTCAAAAATAAACATTAAAAAAAAAGCCTGTGACGTGGATTCTATCTTCTTTTTACAAATGAGGAAACTGAGGCTCAGTGGTCAAATGACTTGCTCAAGGTCACACAGCTAGCTAGGTTAGAGGCAAAATTGGGATTTGGACCTAAGACTGATTTCAAATGTTCTTTCTACTATATCGCTTTCACTGTATGTCTCTGGGCCTCAGTTTACTCTTCTGTAAAATGAGAAAATGGACCCAAATTAATGCTTATTAAACTTTTAGCTTTCTTTGTTCAAATGAAATCTTTAGTGTAGAAGCTCAGTCACAGTCAAGAAAGTGAAGCTGTTATGGCTGAAGCCAAGGTGAAGGGCCAGGGATCTGGAGCTCCCCCTCCATTTCTCAGCCCTGGTAGTATCTGGGTAGGTTCTTCAAATCCTTAGGACTGGATTGGATGATCTTTAACATTCAGTGACTTTATTTAAAAATATGCGTTTTTACTTGTCTGGCAGTACAATAACTGCCGCTGAAAAGAATCATACTTTTTACCCAAGCAGGAAGCTGAGAGAAAATCATCTTTTAAGTTCCTCTGAAAACCCTCTGCTAAAGGCACATTTACGTATGGTGAGGATGCAGCTTTCCTAGCCAGTACCACCTGTGGAACTGCAGTGCTTTTAAATTAAAAAGAAAGGTCTTACTGATCAATTTCTACAGAAAATTAAACAACTAATAGACTACAAAACTATCTTCTTATATCAAGGTAATGCTTTTCTCTTTTTAAAAAGCCTTTTACATCTTCTTCCTCATTAGCAAGTGAGTCTCTAGATGAACAGTGGATGAGAAAAGACACGCTCTGAGGGAGAACAGAATGAGTCTGTTTTCTATTCATCTCAGCAGCAGATGTGGGGTTCCCTCCAGAGCCAAGGGCAGAAGCACGGCACAGTATGCTTTCCAGGTTTTGTTAGGATCTTTAATTTTAACCAAGACATTAAACCCTTCCTTCTGCCCTCCCTGCCATCACAAAATAAAGACTGCAGAAACCTTGCTTACTCTTGATGAGAGGTGGTCGTACCTTGGTAACTGGATCAAATGTATAGCTGCCTTGTGTTGGTGTCAGGTTCATATTCAGTACAACTTTTGGCATGTGAACTGTTACTGTGATTCCTTCAATAGTTTTCCCCATATTCTGCTTTGGTCCAATTGTAATATCGAATCTGCCACAAGAACTGTTCTCCTTAAAGCTGATGCAGTGTTTCACATACACTGGTATTGCCACTAGACTGAAAACAGAAAGACAGACTCAACCACAAACATAATTAATGGTGTGAGACAGTTCTAGAGGTAGCCTGAAAACCTCAGTCCAGAGTGTCCTACCCGGCTTGTGACTCTACCATAGGACCATATAGCACCAGAACTGGAGATTCAGCATCTGTACCAGAGGGTTTGAGTACATCAGTGTTCTAGCACCACTGCACTAAGAATTGTACAATTTCTGAGCAATACATATACAAATCAAGATAGTATAAACAACTGGGGCAAATAGCCCTAGTTTAAAGAAATGAAAAGATAATTTAAAATTATACTAAATAATAGAATTCCTGTGTGGTAAGAGCCAAGGAACAACAACTCTGCTTTTAAGTCTTTTCTGATATTACCGGAATACCTTCTGATATTTTCTGGGGACAAACCAGTTATAACCCATAATGCTAATTCATTCATTTGAACCTTAGTACACAAAAGAGTGACCTGAAGCCAGTTAGTTGGGAGATACCCTAGGGAGCTGGAGATCTGTCTATCTCCTTTAGCTATGAAGCCTAAAAACCACAGTAAAATTCTGGCATGGGTTCAAGGTTTTGCCCAGGTTATGCACAGTCCAAGATGCTTGTTCTTAGGTATGTATTTTACTAGTCTCATTTACTACTATTTTATACTCTCAGATTCAAGGTACACTGATTATTTTAGATACGTATTTTCACCAGTTCTTCCTGAGTCTCCTGCTGGGCCATGGCTAAAGGGAGCAGTGATGAATTCAAGTATTCAACTGTAAGAATGAAAAAGGTGAATTCTACCCATCACCCTGATATATGATGGTAGATTTCTGGCTGATGCATCAACATACTTTTGTGAGCTGACACGATATGATATGAGTCGGAAATTTCCATCTGGAGGAATAAATGACAACACTCTTTCAGATTCCCAACGCTTGAACCGGATGCAGGGGTGAAAGCTGACATCATCTAGAAGCCGTGGGTTCTGCCAGGAAAACAAGACAGCAGTATTCATAGGGTGCACTGAATATGGCAACTCTACTCAGACATGAGAAATTCATTTACTCCCTAAAGATACAACGGTCATGTTAAGAGTTTGTTACTATGACCACATTAACAAAATCTTAATGGACGGTGTTTTATTCGAATTTCAATAACTTAAGTAGAAAATGCAAGTAGTATCATTTCCATTTCATAAATGAAAAAACTAAGGTTCGAAGAAGTCAAGGTCAGGACAAGACAGCATCAGAACTATGTTCTCTTGATTTTCTTAGTGTATCATGCTGAGTCTAAAATAATGAAAAAGTTCAATGCTCCTTCATATTAGCAAAACAAATAATAATTTGGTAAGTGAGACTACAGATTTGCAGAAGCTAGCAAACTTAGGCCACTTTTGGCACACTCAGGAAAAGACCTCAGCCTTTTCATAAAGGCCATGCTCATCATGTAAAACACTGTCTTGGGAGGCTGTACTGTGAATATCTCTGAGGTAATCCTTACAATCTAAGATACAAGCATCTCTCAATATTTATCATTTCATTCACTACTTCATATGTATTAGGTATGCAAGGAACTACAGGACAGGAGAACAAAACGTACCATGAAAGAAAGAGAAAGGTCAGGCATTCCAGATAGCTTAATGCAAGCATCAATGACCCCCTGAATTTCTGCAAAGACTGTAGATCCTGAAGAAAGAAAGAGATAACATCACTGGAATCTGAGTCTTTCCTAGAGCTATCACTCTATCTGAAGTAATGGAGATACCTCCTGAGTGTCAGACATAATGAAACTTGCACATCTAACAAGTTAGTGGACAAAGGATCCATTACACCAGTTATGACAATTTCTTCACTAAGTGCCATGGCCCACACCTAACTCTGGTATGTAATTCTAAGGAATATCAAACTTGACTCTATCTTGATAATCAAACTTGAAAGACTGCAGGATATGAAGTTAAAAAATTTAAAAAAGTGGTTTTTTAACACTTACTCATTTTTGAGAGGCAGAGAAACAGAGGATGAATGGGAGAGGGGCAGAGAGAGCGGGAGACACAGGATCTGAAGCAGGCTCTAGGCTCCAAGCTGTCAGCAGAGCCCAACATGAGGTTCGAACCAATAAACCGCGAGATCATGACCTGAGCTGAAGTTGGATGCTTAACCAACTGAGTCATCCAGGTGCCCCTTAAGTTAAATATTTTTAATGGAATTTAAAAATGAGGCAAGTTTCTCATGAAATGGTCTGAACTGTTAACTTTTATGAAACAGGAGGCATTATTCTGTAATAATACAGCTATTATTCTGTATGACGGAATTTTATAATGAAAAAGGGCACTCAATAAAGGAAAGATATTGACTGTAATTCATAATAACTCATTTTCACACACAGACTAGCTGTGTGACCTTAAGCAGATTATTAAGATCTTCTGAGCTTCAGTTTACTTACATATAAAATGTGAGGGTTGGATTAGATGTTTTAAATAAAATTTTATGATTATAAAACAGTACTGCTGTTTTGTTTGGGGTTGTTATTAGAAGTACTGCATACAGAAGTGCCTGGGTGGCTCAGTCAGTTAAGTGTCTGACTTTGGTCTAGGTCATGATCTCATGGCTCCTGAGTTCAAGCCCTATGTCAGGCTCTGTGCTGACAGCTCAGAGCCTGAGCCTGCTACGGAATTCTGTCTCCCTTTTTCCTCCCTGGCAAGCACTCTGTCTCTCTCTCTCAAAAATGAATAAACATTAAAAAAATTTATAAAAAAAAAAAGTACTGCATATAAAGTGGTAGCAAAAGTACGGTGTATGGTAGATAGATACACAGTAAATATCTGAATGAATAAACAGCAAGAGGCAGAGGCGTACAGGGTAATAACTGGCTTAACAAGGCAGCATGAGATCTGATTTATAAGGTTTGGCAGATCTCAACTAGTGGTTATGAAAATTATATGTAACCTCTGGGCAAAATAAACAGATTTTTAAGCTATTAGAAAGTGAATGCCTTTCCACTGAAGCCATACTGTCAAGGGGTTTCAATTTTCTGTTCAGCTTATGTCGGCTCAACTGTCTTCCCAAATAAGACCACATGCACACAATTACCTGATTTATCTATAATTGCATCTATTTCTTCAACGACATCAAAATAGGCTTCATTGTTTGTGTACTTTACCCCTGCCCGGCGCCATGGGATGTTGGACAACTGCCCAGTGGGGAGTGTGTCCCCAACATTACTGCTGCCTAGAAACCAGAAAAGGAGAAAGCAAAGGTAATGCATTAAATGGTCAACAGAAAAGCTATTTACAAGGGCACCTCGCTGGCTCAGTTGGTAGAGTGTGAAACTCGACACTGGAGTTGTGAGTTCGAGCCCCAAGTTGGGTGTATAGCAAACTTGAAAGAAAGAAAGAAAAGCTGTTAACCATAACCTCCTCCAAAACCCAAAAACCAAAAAAGAATGCTGTAGTTGCTTTGTTACTGTTTGGATTTTTCTTCATTGAAGTTGTGGATGGTTTCCAGAATTGTTGGGAGATATATTCATACCAACATGATCACATTTCTAGAAGACAGAAGTAGACCATGTGGTCCTCTGTGTGCCAAACCAGGTTAAATTCATTTACTTATCTTTTGCTTCCTGCATGTTAATAGTAACCTAACCTAATTCCAGCGGCTTAACAACAGAATCTCATTCTGTTGTCACTGATGAAGAAAAGAGGCTAGTTGTTTTAAAACCTTCTGCTGATACAATGTCTCCACTGAGAATACAAAGTGATAAGTAGGCCCTTTGGTATTCAGCATAAATTCTACATGAGATGCTGCCAAGCAGGCCTCAGTAGAGTAACTGGATGAAGAACACACTCTGGCCTTCTCCCATTTTAAGGTCAGCATACCCATATGGCTGCAATATGGCTAATGTTTAATGTCTGGCTAATTTACAGGTAAATTGACATATGTCTTAAGGTAAGTCTGGTTGTCCAAAACGTCCCTGAGCTGTGACATATTTAACATTTTGATTTACATTTCCAACATAAAAGCAGTACATGCTTAATAACAACAACACATGTGAAGTTCAGAAAAGTGGCTAAAAAGATCTATCTTCCTTTTACCAAAATACAACTACCATTAACATTTTGGTATAATTCTTTAAACCTTTCTCTCATAAGTAGGTTCCACTTATTTTTTTCTATTTTGATAATTTTGTTTTTTTTATATAAAATTTCACAGTCTCATCTGACTGGTGTTAGTATCTCCAACCTTTTGCCTTCTAGAATTTTTGAAAAACACTGCCTTAATCTCCCTGTTCAAAACTTTCAATGTTTCCACACGGCCTTTGTGATAAAAAATAAATATTTATTCTAGCATTCAAGAATATCTTCAACTTAACTCAATTTTATCTCTCAGTACTCAGCTAAAATACAGCTCTGCTTCTGCTAAACAAATTAATACAATTCAAGGTTTTTCACTTTGTGTGTGTTTTCTCATATAGTTCCATCCATAGAATGCTTATTCCTCCCTCTCCCCCTAAATTCTGTTGCTTCTCTAGAGCTCTGCCCTAGGGCCAACCAGTACAGTTCAGGAAGAATTATTTCATCCACTGAACGATTCTCTTGAATTTTATAAAGCTCTGCCTTAATAACCTATATATATTGTCATTCTATTATTTTAATAATTATAAAATACATGTTCATTTTGGAAATTAGAAAGTGTAAAGCAGAAATAAAGGTAGTATGTAGCTTCTTAGTTTGAGATGGTCATCGAAAACATTTTAGAACTTTTTTGTCTGTATGCATTTTTCTGTATAATTAACTTTTTATGGTTTTGTGTTTTTTCTTCCCATTTAATATTATATAATGTGTACTTTCAAGTGTCACTGCATTGTCTATAAAGTACATAATTACCTTTTACAATCTTATACTATTATTATTTAATTTTTTTCCCCAATCTCTCATTCAGAGTGTAAGTTTTAGGCACACAGACACTCCAGCTTATCTTTCCCTTAATTTCTCTGAACACTAAGCCTTGTATAGAGGATGAATAAAGCTTTTTTTTTTTTTAATTTTTTAAATGTTTATTTATTTTTGAGAGAGACAGAGTGTGAGCAGGGGAGGGGCAGAGAGAGACGGAGACACAGAATTAGAAGCAGGCTCCAGGCTCTGAACTGTCAGCACAGAGCCTGACGCAGGGCTCGAACCCACAGAATGTGAGATCATGACCTGAGCCAAGGTTGGATGCTTAACCCACTGAACTAACCAGGCGCCCCAGGGGATGAATAAAGCTTTCTTACAAGCCTCTCATGCCCCACTTTTTAGATCAGTACATTTGGAGAGGGGTTTATAATGGTAGACATCAGAGCTGGTGTGGCATGTAATATTTCACAGAAATCTTTCTCTAGAAGACTTCAATGCTCTCAAAAAAAAAAAAAAGAAAAGAAAAACCGTCATCTGGATGTATCTAATTTCTAGCTACACTCAAGAAATACATCAAAATTATTTTATCTATACCATGGAATACTACATGGCAATGAGAAACAATGAAATCTGGCCATGTGTAGCAACATGGATGGACCTTGAGGGTGTTATGCTGAGCGAAATAAGTCAGGCAGAGAAGGACAAATATCATATGTTTGCACGTACAGGAGGATTAGGAGGAACTTGACGGAGGAACAAGGGGGAGAAGAAGGGCAGAAATGGTGGGGGAAAGGGAGAGAGGCAAACCATGAGAGACTCTTGAATGCTGACAAAAACTGAGGACTGATGGATGGGGGGGAGGGGGATGGGCATGGAGGAGGGCACTTGTGGGGATGAGCACTGGGTGTTATGTGGAAACTAATTTGACAATAAACTATTTGTAAAAAAAATAAATAAAAGAAATGAAAGGAAAATTATAAAAAAAAAGAAATACATCAAAATTAGAAACTTACAACACAAGTACAAGGCCCACATTGCATGAGATCTCACAAAAAGACTAATTTCCTATCTCTTTTTAATAAATCTTCTATACATATAAAACAAAGACGTGGAGGAGACAATATGAACTCTGTGGTAAGGATCTTAAATTTTCTATAGTCTAGTAATTGAGGTTTTATATATTTTATATATAACATAATGCCAGTTTTATAATGCTATCTTTTCTCAGCTTTTATTGAGATACGACTGACATACAACATTGTGTTAAGTTTAAGTGTATAACACGTTGATTTAATATACTTATATACTACAAAATGATTTTGAGTATAGTATTAGTTTACATATTCATCACATCACATAAAATAATATTTTAAATATTACAGTGCCAGTCTATAAATAGATTGAATGCTCTTCTACGTAGTCTTATATATTGGCTTCCCTTTTATATTGGCCTCTTTTTTTTTTTCTTAATGTTTTATTTATTTCTAAGAGAGAGAGAGAGACAGACAGCATGAGCAGGGGAGGGTCAGAGAGAGAGGGAGATACAGAATCTGAAACAGGCTCCAGGCTCTGAGCTGGCTATCAGCAGAGAGCCTAACACGGGGCTTGAACTCACGAACTGTGAGATCATGACCTGAGCTGAAGTCGGATGCTTAAGTGAGCCACCCAGACACCCCTATATTGGCTTCTTTAAGATTAACTGGGAAAAGTTATTCAGTCTTATTATTTAGTGTTAAGTAATAGTATTAATGTTACTGTGGTCTTATAGAAAAATCTGTAATAAAAGAATAATAACCCCAAGTTTTCTTTTTCATTTAAGACCCAGCCTCTTCCCATGACAGAAATGCACATTTATTTTCACAATAGCACTAACTTTAACTCTGGTCAAGCTAGACTACCTTAATAATCTGTCAGATCATAAATAATAAGATTATAAACAAGTTGTTGATAAAGTGTTATTTGCTCAGTTCCTAATGCAGTATGTTTTCACCTTACCTGTAATAGAGTTGACAACAGAACGTAGAATTGTTGGTGGTTTAATCAGTTCTTTCAAAATATTAGATTCGGTAGCCAGTGGAAATCCATTGTCTAACATTTCTTCCAAGAGTTCATATACAATGACCACATTATCCTTAATTGCAGCTTCCGAACACTCACCAAAGTAGTCCTTAACAAAATGCACATAATTTTGCACAATGGAGGACATGAAGAAAGGCTTGCTAAACACTCTTTGTTCAGAAGGATAAACTTACAGTAGCATAATTCATTGTTTAAGATGTCGAAAATATATAAATCAGAAGGAAAAAAATGCTCTGTAGTTCTCTACATTATTCTTTAATATTTTCTTAATATTTTTAGATTGAACTGAATTCCTATTACATATTAAGCCAGAGAGTACTTCATCTGCCTACCCCCAAAACACAGATAAATTTTCAATTATTTGGTACATTTAGCAAGGTAATAAAATGTACATATTAGAAGACTGCATAACCAATAAAAATCTTGGGACCATTCAGAGAACTGTATGTAGAGGACATTACTGTTTCCTGATGACATAATTTGTAATACATATAAAAAATAAGGCTTCCGCGACCATGAGATTACTGTGTTCTACTGAAACAGTGGATAGAGCAGCCATGTATACTGCTATACACCCGACAAAAAAGGGTTTATGAATTTATGCTTAGTTGAAAAGAGCGAAATAGAATACACATTAAAAACTGGATAATTAAAGAATATCATGTGTCCTACTCCTAACTTGAGTGATTTAAGTTCAAAAGATGTGATGAATAACCAACCTGAAAAGTGTCAGCAACTCGATGTAGGAACTCAATTACAAACAGAGGTGGCACTTCAGTCTGTATGACAGACACAAAGAAGAGTTTATCACGGTAGATACTGATGAGGTAGTGATGAGGTGTCGAAATGACAGGGGGTACATTTTCAACATCAGCAGCTTTCTCTTGAGCTTCAAAGAAATAATCACAGACAGACTGGCTCACAACACTCTTCCAATGCTTCTCTAGAAATATGTCACCGGAACAGTTTATGAGAAATAGACTGTGAATCATTTTCTGGGGGGAAAAAAAGTTTAAGTTTAGTGTACATCAAAGAGTACCCTTGTGTTATTCTGACAAAACCAGACAAAGGCAATACAAGAATATACAGACCAATGTCACTTAAGAATAGCTATAAAACTCCTCAACAAAATGCTAGCAAACTGAGTCTAGCAACATATAAAGATTATATACCTTGACCAAATGGATTTATTCTAAGAATGGAAGATTGGTTCAACATATGAAAATCAATCAATGTAACACACAATATACATAAAATAAAAGACAAAAAATATAATCATTTAAAAATGTGCAGGAAAATAAGTTGACAAAATCTAGCACCTGTTTATAGTAAAAATACTTCAACTAGAAAAAGAAACTTCCTAACATTGATATGGCATCTATGGAAATCCCATATATCTATGATTAGAGATTATAGATTAAAACGTTTTTCCTTAATATCAAGAATAAACAATGATGTCCACTCTTACCATTTCTATTCAATATGGTACTAGAGATTCTAGCCAGGACAATTAGAAAATGAGACCAAAGTCTTCCAAAGGGGAAAGGAAGAAATAAAACTACCTCTATTTGCAGATGGTACAATTTTGTATATGTAAAGTCCTAAGGAGTATAAGCGTACATACACAAAAAATCATAGTTAATAAATGAGTTCAGCAAGCTTGCAGAATACAATATAAAAACTGTATTTTTTATTAAAAATTTTAAAAAAATGTTTATTTATTTTTGAGAGAGAGACAGAGTGTATGCATGGGAAAGGCAGAGAGAGAGGGAGACATAGAATCTGAAGCAGGCTCCAGGATCTGAGCTGGCTGTCAGCACAGAGCCTGATGTAGGGCTCGAACCCATGACCTGAGCCAAAGTTGTACACTTAATCAATTAAGCCACCCAGGCACCCCCAAAAAACAATTATATTTCTACACATTAGAAATGAATAAAACCTGAAAATGAAATTGAGAAAACAATTCCATTTACAAGAAGATCAAAATACTTAGGACTAAATTTAACAAAAGTGCATGATTTGTACATTGAATAGTACAGAACATCACTGAAAGAAATTAGAAATTAAAAATATCTAAAACTTGGGAAGATATTTCATGTTCATGGATTAGAAAACTTAATATTATTAAGACAGCAATACTCACCAAATTGACCTAAGATTCAAAGCAATCCCTACTACAACAGGGCTTATAGCTGCCTTTTTTATGGCAACTGACAGGATCATCCTAAAATTCATATGGAAATGAAAGACACGAGGAGAGCCAAAACAATATTGAAAAGAAGAACAAATTTGGAAGACTCAAACTTTCTGATTTTAAAAACCTACTATGAATGTACTATGTGGTACTGACAAAGGGATAGATCAATGGAATAGAATTGAAAATTCTGAATATATATCCTTACATATACAGTCAATTGATTTCTGATAAGATTGCCAAGACCATTCAGCGGGAGAGAGAACAGTCATTTCAACAAGTGGTGCTGGGACAACTGGATTTCTACATGCAAAAGAATGACTATGGATCTCTATCTCATACCATATACAAAAATCAACTTACAATGTATCAGAGACTAAATATAATAGCTAAATAAAAACTCTTAGAAAAAACCATATATGCATTAAGTCATCAGGGCCCTGGAATAGATAATTATTTTTAGATATGACACCAAGAGCACAAGCAACAAAAGAAAAAACAGATAACCTGGACTTATATCAGAATTAAAAATTTTTGTACTCTGAAGGACATTATCAAGAAAGTAAAAAGACAACTCACAGAATGAGAGAATAATCGCAAACCATATTATTTTATAAGGAACTACTATCCAGAATATAGAAACACTTACAACTCAATAATAAAAGGACAACAAAATAAAAAAAAATGTGTAAAGAATTTGAAGACATTACTTCAAAGCAGACAGACACACAAATGACCAATAAGCAGAGGGCCCGGTGCTCAACATGTTCTCAAAATGTAAATCAAAATCACAATAAGATATTATTTCATATCCATTAGACTAGACATAATCAAAATGCAGACAATAATAAGTATTGACAAGAATGTGGAGAAACTGGAACCCTCATAAATTGCTGATAGGAATGTAAAATGGTAGAGCTGCTGTGGAAAACAGTTTGAGTTATCCAAAAAGGTAGAGTTACCAAATGACTCCAAAATTCTGCTCCTAGGTATATAACCAAGAAAACTAGGAACAGATGTCCATACAAAAATCTGTATACAAATGTTCCTAGCAGCATTACTCATAATATTAAAAAAGTGAAGACAACTCAAATGTTTATCAACTGATGAATGGGTAAATAATAAATTTTCAAACAACAGAATTATTCAGCCATAGAAAGGAATGAAATAATAAATGCTATAACACGGCTGAACCACAAAAACATTATGTTTTGAAGCTAGACAAAAAAGGTCACGTATTATATAATTCCATTTGTATAAAATGTCCAGAATAGGCAAATCTACAGAGATAGAAAGTAGATTAGTGGTTAGCAGGGGCTGAGTGGAAGGGGAAGAATGTGGAGTTAGTGGCTATGGGTTTGTTGTTTCCTTTTAAGGTGATAAAAACTATCTGGGATTAGAGATAATGGTTGTACAACTTTGTGAATATACTAAAAACTACTAAATTGTACACTTTAAAATGGTGAATTGTATAGTATGTGAATTACATTTCATTTAAAAAATATTCTTAATAACTGTGACACACAAATCTACTCCCAGGTGGATTAAAACATGTATACAAATGTGCACCAAAAACATGTATAAAAATATATTGGGTGAAATATGTTATGAAATATGTTATGGTGAAAATCTGCAACAACTCAAATGTTTATTAATAGAATGGGAAAACAAACTACAGTATATTATCAAAATGAAATATTACATAGCAATGAAAATAAACTTGTTACATGAAGCAAATATGGATGAATCTTACAAACACAATACTGAACAAACAAAGCCAGATGCAAAAGGATATATTCAGTAAGATTCTACTTATGTGAAGTTCTAGAACAGACAAAATTAATCTATGGTTTGAGAAATCAAATGCTATCTTTTATGGAGGAGAGTGAGGGTAGTGACTAAGAAGGGCATGGGGGTGGTTTAAGGTACTTGTAATGTTTTATTTCTTGATATAGAGTAGAGTTACAAGCTGTATTCATTTTGTGATAATTCATTGGGCTTTATATTGTGACATACAATTTTCTGAGTGTTAATTATGCTTCAAATAAAACCTTTTTATTGCCTTGCAAATGGGGGATGGTGGAAAAAGATCTAATTACCTTAATGTGCTCCCTTCTTTTATATGGATAATATCAGTTATCAGGTGCTTAGTCTGGTGGTCAATTAATTCAAAATTATACTACTGTAGAAGCGTAGCTCAGCTGTAAAAAATTTAAAATGAATAGTTTCTCTGCATGAAGATAAATTTCAAAGAGGAAAGGAAAACTGCAGAATGGATGGATTCATTCAATTCTGTTGACACAGGAAACAAGAACATAAATCTGACTAGTTCTTTTAAGATTAAGTAATTTATTTTATGAAAGCAGCTGACATTTAAGGACTATTTGGTGATGATTTCCCTTTCCCTTCTGACACATGCTCAAAAGTTTTTACGTAAATTACTAATTACTAAGATGTGTTTTAGTAATTACTGTATTAATAAAGTGTGAATGCTGTTAACAGTTCCTGCTTATTAGAAACAAAAACATTTCTTTGTTCAAAGTCATCTCAACTTAGCAAGCAATTAATGTGACAATAAACCCTGACACCTCAGGCACTGGACCTACTAAAGTTTTCTAGATTAATACCTGTGAAACCTGTTGGCACAAAAACGGACACATAGACCAATGGAATAGAATAGAGAACCCAGAATTGGACCCACATGTGTATGGCCAATTAATCTTTGACAAAGCAGGAAAGAGTATCCAGTGGAAAAAAGACAGCCTCTTTAACAGATGGTGCTGGGAGAACTGGACAGTAACATGCAGAAGAATGAAACTAGACCACTTTCTTACACCATACACAAAAATAAACTCAAAATGGATGAAGGATCTGAATGTGAGACAGGAAGCCATCAAAACCCTAGAGGAGAAAGCAGGAAACAACCTCCTTGACCTCAAATGCAGCAATTTCTTACTGGACAGATCTCCAAAGGCAAGAGAATCAAGAGCAAAAATGAACTATTGGGACCTCATCAAGATAAAAAGCTTCTGCATGGCAAAGGAAACAATCAACAAAATAGGCAACTGACGGAATGGAAAAGGATAGTTGCAAATGACATTATCAGCCGAAGAGCTAATAGCCAAAATCTATAAGGAATTCACCAAACTTCACACCCGAAAAATAATCCAGTGAAGAAATGGGCAGAAGAGATGAACAGACACTTCATGTTCTGAACAACAGAAATGTTGCTCAGCATCACTCATTATCAGGGAAATACAAATCAAAACTACCCAGAGATACCACCTCAAGCCAGTCAGAGTGGCTAAAATGAACAAATCAAGAGACTATAGACGCTGGCGATGATGTGGAGAAACGGGCACCCTCCTACACTCTTGGTGGGAATGGAAACGTTGCAGCCCCTCTGGAAAACAGTGTCGAGGTTCCTCAAAAAATTAACAATAGAACTCCCCTATGACCCAGCAATAGCACTGCTAGGAATTTAACCAAGGGATATAGGAGTGCTGATGCACAGCAGCACATGTAATGTTCATAGTAGCACTTTCAACAATAGCCAGATCATGGAAAGAGCCTAAATATCCATCAACTGATGAACTGACCAAAAAGATGTGGTTTATATACACAATGGAATACTACATGGTAATGTGAAAGAATGAAATCTGGCCATTTGTAGCAATGGGATGGAACTTGAGGGTGTTACACTAAATGAAGTAAGTCAGGCAGAGAAGGACAGATACCATATGTTTTCACTCATACGTGAAACAGGAGACACTTAACAGTGGACCATAGGGAAGGGAAAGG